CCAGGAAGTCGTCCCAACATGGCTCCTCTATTAACCCTTTAATGTTTTCACCAGCGTCGCTCTGAGCAGCAGCTCCTGTAATGAGCTCAGCAGCTGTTTGCCGGGGGGCTGGGGGGAGGAGCTACGCCTTGAAGGCGGGGCTAAGCCAATCCAGACGTTTAGCAGCTGAATGGTTACCATGGAGATTGAAGGATTTTTCAATCATCATCTGAATGCTTGAGGGATCCAGATAGAAGCTGCTCTCAGAACTAAAATATATCTGTGTAGATGAAGGTTTTATTAGTCACGGTACCACGTGGTTCTGTGTGGGCCTGCAGGGCCCGGTTACCTCATGGAGGGCAGGTGCCGTGTGATGACGTCCAGCGCCTGGACCGAGTCCTCGGGAACCTCGTTCAGGTGACCCGACAGCGCCTCCAGCAGCATCTGCAGGCTCACCACTGACACCCACTGCAGGGACACCTTGAAGGTCTGGTCCTTCCCCTCGCCCGGCAGGGTCACCTCCAGGTCCACCTAGGGGCGGACAAGAACCGTCAACACGCCAGTGCCGTCGAGAGGTAGAGGGTTCAAAGGTCAGACACCCACCCTGTCTCTGCCGATCGGCAGCGGATGAGCCGTGTACATGTTCCTCTTCCCGTCGTAGCCCGGCTGCCGGTCCCCAAAGATCTGCATCTTAAAGTGCCGCACCATGGTGTCCACCACCTCCCTGCAAGACGGACAGAACATCACCACAGAGCCGGGCCGGGCCGAGCCGGGCTGGGCCTGGGCGAGCCGTCACCCACCTGTTGACCCGCCGGGGGCGTTTCTCCGGCTTGATCTCGATGTCATAGTGGTAGACGTCAATCTTGGGTATCTGAACCTGGAAGTGGTTGGCGAGGAGCCGGATGGGTTTCCCCACCGTGCCAAGGCCGGGACGCCGTGGAGGCTGGAAGAGAGAGGTGGGGGCAGGCGGGCCTGTGGGGACAGGAGGTCAGGAGGTCAGATGGGTTCCAACGACACAACAACATCTACAGTTACAGAAACAGACAGAGCCCTGCCAGCAGCAGGCTCTGCTCCGTTTTACTTCCTCTTTAAAGTTTCTCTAGGTAAAACCAGCTTACGGATAAACGCCACATCAATAATCAATAATGAAATAGACAACGCAGTACAATAAGCAGAATGGAGAGACGTTAAGTTCCAACAATGAGCAAAATGGAAATAAGACAAACATGTCGATGCTGAGAGGAAATTTATTCATTTTAGTTTCATCATCATGAATCCAGTCCAGAAGAAGAACCAGTGACAACCCCCAGAAGTAGACATTTCTTTATTCACAGTTTGAAGTAATGCATTATAAAAATATTTATAGAAACATCAAAATTCAAAATAACTTTCTCAATTTCACAAAACAGTTTCTATGTTCGCTGGAGGCGGATTTTGGTTTTCAGGACAAAGAGTTAATGCTAAAGGAGCGATGGAAACGGATTTACTAGATAAGTTCTGATGTAGTGAACGATCCCACCCACTGCTGGGCCGGAGCCTGACCAGGGGAACCAAACCGAGGGCCGTCTCTGCTCCATGCTAGTTAGCAACCTCCACTTCCTGTTTATTACAGCCATGCGTAGCGTCATCTGATAACATCATGTTCTGCGCTGCCTGGTTGATTCTCTCCACACCAGGAGAAGGAAACACGACTAACTCAAATTTTATTTTTTCTTCTTTGTGACATTTTAAAAGTTTAATCTAAATTCACATGGAAACGTCGGAGTCGCTCTCAGCAGCTGAATCGCTCTGAAGCTCAGCCTATCTGGTCAGAATGGAGCTAAAGTGGATATTTTTATAATTATTTTAATGTAAACTGTAGAAAAATACACAGATTGGAAAGAGTTCTGGCTTTTCCAGCGACCCCTGAACTTTTCGGCGACCCAAACAGAACTGAGCTTCAGAACCCCAGAAGAAGGAAGACAGTCAGCTCTGACCTCTGACCTCCAGAGGTCAAGGAGAGGGCGGAGAAACAACGACCTCCAGTTATGCGCCGCCCCCCAGCTCCACCCAGACACATCCCCTTAGCCCCCATGGGGAACAAAGCGGGCCCCATCAGACGGCCAGATGGAGGGATTACCGTTGGCATGGCTGCTCTGGAAAGAAAGTACACCCCTGAACTTTACACCCCGTGTTCACATGGGGGGTTGCAGCTTCCCATCATGGCTTCACTGAGCAATAATAATAAGATCTGGTGGATTTCAAACATTTTCGTGAATTTAGTGGCTGAAGAGCAGATCTGAAGGAGGGTCCAGGTTCAGAACCAACGCCGCTCCGTTACATCAACCAAACCTCCTGATTAGCAGAAACGACCCAGAAAGGCTGCCGGCTACGAGGAGCGGAGCGATGGAGGCCAGGGGACACGGGGGTCCTGAACCCAAACATGACGCTCCAGTTAGTCAGTGAAGCGCGAGAGCACAGACAATCAGGAGCCTCGCGCCGCTCTGAGAACACGCCGCTGCCCCCCCCACGCCGTCCCCGATCCCCATCACCCCCTCCTCTGGACCGACCCGTCTGCACTCCAACCTCAGAGATGACGCCAGCCGATGGGTTCTGTCATGACCCAAAACGTCTGATGATTCAGACCACTCCATCCAACTGGCTGGGTTACCGACGGCAACGCCCCGCCGGAGGCTGCAGAACCTCGTCACCGACGGCAACGCCCGCCGGAGGCTGCAGAACCTCGTCACCGACGGCAACGCCCGCCGGAGGCTGCAGAACCTCGTTACCGACGGCAACGCCCCGCCGGAGGCTGCAGAAGGTGTGAAGACGTCGGTGTTAGAAAACACAGCCCGACATCCAGGCAGTGTGTTCAGGGGAACCAGAACCTCTCCATCAGATCAGCTAATCCAACCGGTCCAGACTCAGATGGATCCACAAACACAGAAACGTCCCTGGAACAAGAGGGACAGTCATTGGAGGACATAGGCGAGCCTTAAGAGAAGAGTGGGAGAAGCAACCAGGGCCTCATCTCGTCCTCAGGACAGGTGACCCAAGCAAACCTGGCATCGTTGGGGACAACTCCATCCCTGAGCTGAATGGAGGCCCAGTGACCCACATGTCCTAACCGCCCCATTAGCATCTTAACTGCCCAGTTAGTGTCCTAACCATCCTGTTGGTGAAGTCTGTTAGTGTGACATCTTAAGAGTTGGGTACTTCCAACTAGGGTTGGGGGATATGAGGAATATCTAATATCCTGATATATTTTTGCTATATCACGATACATGATATATATCACGATATCCTTACATGAGCTCCAATGTTATTTTAAACTGGACTCCTGGTACCAGGATGTCACCCACGCAGGTTCCCGCCTCCATTTCTCTGCTAGACTTAAATATAAGCCCATATAAAAAGGAATGCAGTGTTTTGCTATGAACTATCTACACTATGACTAGATAACAAGGTGAGAAATAAGTTAGAAAAAATAGCGAGGGAGAGGGAAGTAGGTCAGTTATGCTTGACTTTGACAAACTTAAATAGATGTGCTGTGGAATAAGGTGTGTTTTGGTTCAGCTTAAAAATAAAAAGGGCGGCCTACATACTAACTGACAGATCATTAGTAAATTAGCTAATCAGTCACAGCTGTGTTAGCATGGCTAATAGCAGCGGTGGCTAATCTACCACCGCTGTGTTAGCATGGCTAATAGCAGCGGTGGCTAATCTACCACCGCTGTGTCAGTGTGGCTATTTTTCCCACTGCATAGCACTAAGTGGATCCTACCAAGTCTCCAGGTTTCACTTTAACGGTCTAGTTCTACCGGTTATGAACGGCATGTAAAAAAATAGTCTGATTAGGTGGTGAATTAAATCTGTGGTTCAGCCTTTTGCCGCAATAGTTTTATAACATGTTTCGCAAATTACCTCATTTTGTTCGACATCCTCCATATAAAATCCAAACTACTGCCAAGTTATTGATTCTGTTCGGAACTAGACTAGTTCATCTGATTCCTCTTCAGTTTCAGTCTCATTCATCGCCTCAAACTCTCGCCGTCCCCATGTTTGTTTTCTCCGCAGTGTGATTGGTAGAAAATGTTCAGGTTGGGAGGGGCGAGGGACTAGTGGTGCATTCATAGGCTGTCGGGTAAACCAAACTCGCAGTGAATTTGACGGCGAAAGTTTATTATTTGAACGACAATTTATACTCAACAGTTGCGATATAGCCATTTTAACTACCGTAAATTGAAAATATCGCGATATATCGAGTATACTGGACCACAGAGGGGCCGGACCGCGGAGGGGCCCCAACTGCCTAACGCCCGGCTGCCCATGGCAACCAGAGGCCGCCAGCTCAGATCCCCAGTGGCAATCAGACTGAACATCTGCAGAAACCTGGACTGCAGATCTTCACCTCTATTCCTCGTTTCTTCTGTTGGTGAAACTAATCAAAGCCCAGAACAATCTGCCTTCCCTCCCTGCAGGTTTTCCCCTCCAGTCCCCTTTCATTGTGATGTAACTTCCTGCCTGCAGGCTGAAGGTCAGTTGAACCTAAATTATTTCATTAAGATTCTGCAGGATTTTACGGCTGCAGCTATTGATAGTTTCAGTAATCAATAACTCTGAAGATTAACTGAATTAAAACAAAACTGGAACATTTTGCAGATTTTTAATGTAACAACTTAATCTTATTTTATAAAATAGATAAAAATGCAAACAAATCTATTGATTTTTTTAAATAAGTTGTTGCATTTCCTTACCTAGCAGGAAACAACATTTTTTAGTGTTGCCTTTCTGGATGAATCAACGTGTGAAAAGCTCAGGGCTTTCTGCTGGACTCAACATCAATGCAGAGTACAGCTGATCTGGGATTCATTTATTGATTAACAGATTAATAATTTATTAGGGAGAAAAAAAGGTGATTGATAGATTTATCTGCAGAATGTTAACCAGGTGAAGCTAAAACTACCACTAGAGATTTACAGATCAAGAAGGTTTTTATCTTAAATGCTAAACCTTTATAGATTTTGTGCAGTTTTGGGTTAATTTCTGTTCTGGATGTTCTTATAGCTCATTCTTAAGAGTCTCTATACTCCAGTTAATTTATAGATTACTAAATTAGTTGACGATTAAATCATAAATTGATTAATTACCACTAATCCCACTGTTTCAGCCCAACTGGATTATAATTGAGGCAGGAGTTTTGTACATAGTAAATGCAGTAATTAATATATTATTGATATTTATTGTCTAAACTCAGATTACAGTTCTGCTTCCTGATGCTTTCGGTGACTGGAGATGCTGGAATTCCTGCTTCTGATTTTATTTCAGACATTAAACAAACTCAGATTCAGACAACAACGCTGAGAAGTGGCTGGTTATGAAACGATAAAAACTCTCAGCTCATCTAAAAACAAACAAACTGGTTCTTACACTAATGATGGAAGATTCGTTTATCCTGAAAACAAAACCAAACATGCTTTAATTTAACTTTCCTGCAGGAACTAGATGAACAGCTCAGAAAAAAGAAAAAAATTAAAACCAAAACTTTTACTTTAACTAGACCACAGATGATTAATTATGTTGCTATAAACTGGCCTTCAGTGTGTTGGAAATGTAGCAGATGAAGCTGAACTTGATCCTAGTGGAGTCTGAACCCGGTTCCTGTTTGTTTCCTGCAGTGAATCATTTCTGTCCGTCTCCACCAGACCTCCATGACTCCACCGCTTCACCGCTTCACAGCAGAAACAGTCCAACACAGAGAACAACACGGAGCAGCCGGAAAGTCCAGGTAAAACACAAATTCTCATTTTCAACAATAATTTAGACACAAATGTGTATTATTTAGATCAGGGTGTTCAACATATGGCCCTTAAATTAATTTAATCGGCCCTTCAACCACAAGTCAAGAACGGTAAAAATTTGGCCAACAAAAATGAAAACAGCTGATGACCACAAAAAGTTGGAAAATGTCTGCTTTTCTTTTTTGTGTTTTGCATCTTTAGATTTCATAAAAATGTTGATTATTATTGGTAAAACAACAACAACAAAAATCAAACTAATTTTTCATCTGTAGTTTAATGTTTTTTGTAGCCTGTTAGTTTAAATTAGTCAGTTTTGGACCTGGGGACTAAAAGTTTGGACACCACCGATTTAAATATTCATACAATTCTGATTAAATCAACTGCATTTTTAATGCCAACGTAATATTTAGTCAGTTGGACTGATGGGCTGCAGGAGATGACATTACCCAAAAGGTTAAAGGTCACACAGTGATGGAAACACAGGTGAGAAGGAAAATGTCATCATAGCAATATTTAGCATTATTATCACCAGACAAGATGCTCTAACAACCTGCAGCTCTTAATATAATATAATATATCCCAAATCATTCTGGTTTTCCATAAACTAGAAACAAATGTCCTCATTTCACTTGTTGCTGAGCTTTCTGTGAGTCATTCCAGCACTCGGCCTCCTCTGTTCTGCAGAAAAAGACCCAGAATTAGCTGAAACAACACCCCCAAACTTCCTCTTTTCAAACACTTCTGTTGAGTCTGCAGGCAGAGATCGGGTTTAACCCCAGACATTTACCTGTTCAGTCAACACCTCACCAAACACTGGACAGCTGTCTCTGCATTTCTAATCTGGATTTCCACAAAAACACTCCATAAATATAATTTACAAACCACATCATGGCAATACAGCTTTAGTTAAACCTCTGTATTTTATTCTTGAATTGTGTTTGGGGGGCCGCATTAAATCAGTCTAGGGGCCGTTAATGGCCCCCATGCCCCACTTTGAACACCCTTGCTGTAAACGGTACCTGCGGCTTGTTAAAATTACTTTTTAAAACTAAAACAAAAATGATGTTACAAATTAAATTATTTGATATGTTTAAATGTTTTTTTCCTGTTTGACATCAATGGAAAAAAATATTTGGTGCTTTAAATTAGTTCATCAAGCAGATATTGAGTCGTTTTAACTTGTAGGGAAAGAAAACTGTCAGTCTGAGAAACTTCATCAGTCTGCACCATAATAGGATATAAATATTCTCTTCTGAATAATCAGATATAGCAGCAAGGTAAACAAAAAAAGTGAAAATTTTAATTCCACTTAAAATATTAAGATGTATTAATCACCTATGTTTATTTAATGATGCGAATCTGAATTTTTGGCAGTTCTGGTTTTCCATACAACACACCTGTGGATGGTTGCGCAGCGCTGCTGCCCACCAGCAGCACATAAAGCCACTAAAAACACCAGATTCTTCATTTATCTCCCAGGCTGATAAATGTGATCACATTTGGTCGGTCATGAAATGGATTTCCAAGCACAATCACCGCATCTGGGCGCAGAAAGTGCGTGTCCGGGCCGTGTTCTCGGCAGGCTGTGTCTTTGTTATCATATAAGAGGAGATGAATATGATGGAGCTGGCCGCAGATGGGATCAATAAAAGCGCCATCCGTCCACCGCCGCTGAGCGCGTGGCTGCGGCTCAAGGAGAAGCGCGTGAACCGATGACAGCCCCGCAGAAAAACCGAAAACAACGAGCCCGAAGAACCCCGCACGCTGGCTCGCTCAACCACCGAAACGCGTTGTGTTTTTAAAGCAGCTTTCATTTTGTTTTTCCGCCCATCGCTGAGAGCTCGGCTCCAGGCAAGCAGGCGCTTACGGCGGTGAGGAGATTTCTGGGTTTTCAGGCGGATTTCGACGACATTTTGAGAGGAAAAGAATGAGCGTGAAGCTGCGAGGCAGAATAAACAGCAGCGTAAACACAGCGTGAAGGAGGAAGGAAGGAAGGAAGGAAGGTCCCAGTTAAATCCCCTCCGACACACAATACCAGCAGAGACCCGCTCTAAATACACTCAGACCCCCCACACAGGTAGATTTACACCCCCCACCTCACACTAACACTCTCGGGGACCATGGTCCGGGCCTCGGTGGGATCTCCGTGGAGGCCTCACGACAGCCTCGGCCCCCAGTGAAGCGCGCCGCCTCCACACACGCCTCCCGCACTTCGCCCGCTGCTCAGCGGTGTGGGACGAGTCTTACCTGGTCCGAGCGCTTCCATGGCCGAGGCCTCTCTCTCCGTCTCTGTCCCGGCCTGGCGGCTCCGTACCGAGGCTGAAATTGGGGGCGGTATGTCGAAGCTGTTGGTGTCTGATTAAAGGAAACTGGAGATGGACGCTCTGAAGGCTGCTGCTGACGGACTCACCGTTGGTACTGCTGGGGATTTTGAGCTGCGCATGTGCCCTTAGCAGTCCCACAGCCGATTGTACGCATGCGCAAAGAGGGTGTAGCGCACTTTTAAAAACACCACTTGATGATAAAAGACAGCATGTAAACGAACTTCTGAAGATTTCTCTTCAGAAGTTCTTCAGTGTTTGTTTTTTATTTTATTTTTATTGTATTTACTTTTTAGTTTAGTTTAGATTAGTTTAGTTTAGTTTATAAATCTGTTTAGCGTCCTCAATCTATTCCAGTAGGTGGCTGTAATGTACCAAAACGTGGCTTCCCAAACGCTATTAAAAATGAAGAAAGAAACCATATGTCAAAATGCAGACACTCAGTATTTAAATAATTAATTTGACATTAAATATAGAAGTACTTGGTTATTTAACTAAATAACTTTACATCTTATCAAAAGAAAAGCTAATAGATAATAGCAACCTTTACGTTTTTGCTTAAGAATTTAATATGTCAAACACTCAAGTTTTACATAAAAGAATTAAAAATTGTAACTAAGATTAAAATTTTAAATTCAAGCCAAATATAATCTTCAGTTTCCTTTAGTAACCTATCAATGATCAATTTATCAGTCTGATTCTTATATCACAACATAAATATCAAAACATGATCCATTTTGTGAAATATGAACTTTAGTTTAAAACAAAAACAAAAAAAAACAAAATATATATATATATATATATATATATATATATATATATATATATATATATATATATATATATATATATATACTGTTAAACATAAACAAAACAATAAGATAGATAATAATGTGTGGAAGCCACAAAAATTAATGTTAAGAAACCATTCATTTGAGTTTAAAAGCCTTTTGAAGCTTCAATCATCGGTAGGTCAATGTTATGTGACTTCAGCTAATGCATATTTATTCTGAAAATGGTCTGCAGCAAAGACTAGTCCAAAACTGAATGAAAATATCTGAGAAAAAAATAAATTATGGATAAAGATAAAACTTTATAAAATAAAACAAATAAAAAATATCGTAAAATATAAATAGGCTACATAAATGTAAGGCTTTCACATAAAGTTGCAAAACAGCAACCAACACAACAAAAATCAAAATATTAAAAAAAAATTAAAAAGAGAAAGTAAAATGATGTACAATTTATAAATAACAACTAAAGCATCAAACTAGAATTTAACCATTTGATTACGCTGTTGAAGTCACAGTACAAGTCCCACGTCATACCAATAAGTACATCTATGACATTGATGTTTGCTCCAGTTATCACTTAGTTTATTCTCTCACATATCTTCAACTGCAAGTGTCTCTTTTCAACTCAGTTTTCATAATGACTAAAAGTTTCTCATCTTAAAAAATAATGCTGGTCAGCTGGTTATTAAAATGACAGCTTTAAAGCTGACAGTAACATAGCAAAACGTTCATAGTAACTGTACCAATACACCAATAATTATGCATTTAACGAAGCTATAACACATAAATGCGATTGCAACACTAATAAAATTAAATTAGCATAAATAGACATAAAATAAATGATGGTAAAATAGTTTTAAAACATTATTAAATTAAGGAAATAATATTTCTTTCTTACGGTTTTCGCGCTGCTGCTGCTGTTTTTATTCCCTCCCTGGGTTGTGTCGTCACGGTGGGCGGATCCAAGAGTCCAGAACGGACCAATGGCTGGAGGAGTAGCGGTTGATTGGCAGCTCTCTGATAGAAGCGGAGCTCCAGCTGTCACGACGCGCCAAAGCTCAAACTGCTCTACGTGAGAGCGGGTCAGGCGGGAGGAAGAGGAGCTGTGTGCGGGGAACCGGGTAATTTGGGCCTGAATGTGGACCTAAAGATCAAAGCAAGTTCTTTACTCGGTGGTGTCACAGAAGCGGTACTTTCAGCGTCGGTTCGACTGAGCGGGATTTAATCCGGAGGAGCCGTCCGAACTGAGATGAGCCTGGTTGTGTCCCAGCAGCAGGTAAAGAACCGGGTTTATAAGTGGGCCTACCGGGTTTCTGTGGTTCTAACTCCTGGTTCCGGCTCTATTTGTGTGTTTTTAGGTTCTGAACTGTGATGTTAAAATGAGCAGAGAGCTAGCTGCTTAGCTTGGGAGCTAGGTTAGCCTGTGGTATAGGAAGGGCTGGACTGAGGCCTGTGTTTTGTCCATTAAGATTCATGTTAAAATGGACTTTAACTTGTTTATCCGCTGCTAACACCTCATGGTTCAGCAACCTGGGGTCGGAGAGCAGGAGATGGACCGCAGTGTGTTCAGTTTGAGGCCGTTTCCAGGAGTAAAGTTTAGGAGGAATGAAGCCATGATGCTTCATTGTTTGCTTCCAGGCGCCACAGCTGCAGCTCGGCCTGGATTTAAACAGAAACCCGCCTTACAGAACCGAACCCGGGCTACCCAGCTGGTACTCTGGATGGTCTGAGCTGTAAAATGGCCTCCCTCTGGTTCTGGATGGATGCAGGTTTCAGTGAGGCTTTGTTTTCTGTGAGGTCATTCAGGTCACATCCCACATCCAGGCTAAAGGCAACCTGAACACACAAACTCACCTGGGAGCACTTTACTTTAATCATAAACCATAAATAAAAACAGAAGATTCACTGGTGATCTTCATAAAACAGGCCATTTACTTAACGTGAACCAAACAAGTTTTGATCAAAGTGTGAAAATTAAAGTTTTGATACATTTAATTAATAATTTAAAAAAAAGTGATTTCAGTGATGTGTGTAGTGTAGAGCAAGGATGTCCAAACTTTTAGTCACATGGGCCAAAATTGTAACTTGAAAGTACTTGTAGGCCAAAAAAATATTATTTTTAAAACATTTTTTTTAAACCCTCTCAACAGTAAACTAAGCGTGAACTTTTTTTTTTGAATGATTTTTTTATTCATTTCTTTTTTTAGAACGGGATCAAAGATCCAAAACTTGAAATGTTTTTTCTTTATGAAATGAAATGCATCCAGTTTGTTTATTTTTGGATTCAATTGAAGAAAACTGATCAAATATTTCATCAATTCTCGGCAATAAATCAGGATCTTCATCAGAAACACTTCCTGCATTCAGCCAACTTCTAACCCAGCAGTGAAAATCAGTTTCTGGAGCACAAAGGTGTAATTTAGACGGTAAATTCCCAAAGGGATTAATAAAGTTTCTGCCTATAAGTTGATGAGTAGATGTGATCCTGGTTACCATGACAACAGAGGAAACCAGACCATCACTTTGTGTTGCATCCAACATTTTTGTAAGTAAATTTAGATTTTAGTCATAGTTTTGTTGTATTTTATTCTTGAATTGTGTTTGGGGCGCCGCACTAAACCAGTCCAGGGGCCGCTAATGGCCCCCGAGCCCCACTTTGAGCACCCTTGCTGTAAATGGTACCTGCGGCTTGTGGAAGGTTTTCTGTTCTGCTTCTCCTCTCTAGTGAAGCCGTCTCGTTGTTTTCAGGCCGAAGCGCCGCCAGCCGCGGCCCAGACGACACCGGACAGCGACTCCGACAGCGGGATGGGTTCACCGGCGGTTACCATGACGACGGCTGACACAAGAAACGCCGTTCCAGGTACAGAAACTGAAACTAATGGAGTTCTGGTAGCACAGGTTTACAGATGAAGGTTTTTTTAATCTGAAATGTTTATATTTTTGTGTAGTTTTGGCTTCATTACTGCTCTGTGTCTTTTAGTAAAGGTTCTGGTTCTGAACGGCCCAGTTTGTTTTTCAGATTCAGACGATGAAGACGTCGCAGCTCACAGGAAGCCTCGGCGAAACGCCATCATAGACAGCGAGGAAGAGGAGGTGGCAGCAGAGAAGAGCGTGGCTGTGGTTGGGGGTCAGAGGTCGCCTGCCTCCAGCGGCGAGGAGGCGGAGCCTGAGGAGGGGAGGCGGAGCAGCAGGACGATCAGCCAGGCTCCTGATGACGGCGAGGAAGAGGAGGATGTGAAGAAGAGGGAGAAGAGTCAGAGAAATCATGAGAAGAAGAAACAACGCAGCAAAGCGATGGAGAAACTGAAGAAGAAGAAGAAAGCGGAGCGGTTCTGTGAGGAAGAGGAGGTGAGTCTTCATCCTGAACAGGTTCCAGCGTTCGGATGGAAAGAATCATTTTAATCTGGTCTCTTCAGGATGGAGCGCTTCCTGTGGTTCTGAACGACAGCGGCTGTCCTCTGGGAGACCCGGACCTGTTCGACACCGGCCTGGCTGACGATGAAGAGGAAGAGGAAGAGTCTCTGGACGCCATCAGAGCTGCAGTCAGGATGAAGATGAGAAACCAGGAGGTAGAAGCCGGAGCTCTGCTCCTCCCGCTGCTGCATTTTGTTTCTGGTTCCTCTGACTGAGGCTTCGCTCTGACTGCAGGAGGAAGAGGAGGAGGATGAAGAGGCTCCAGAGAAACCCCGCCGCGCGGTCCGTGACGCTACAGCGCAGCAACACTTCAGGAAGCTGAGCCGAGCGCTGAAACGTTGTTCTTGTTCCGTCTGCAGGAGAGGAGAGCGGCTCGCGCCAGCAGGGAGGCCATGAAGCAGCTGCACAGCGAGTCGCAGCGTCTGGTCCGAGGTTCGCCGCCGCCATCAGTGCCGCCGCCATCAGTGCCGCCGCCATCAGCAGTGAATGGCAGCGACGTCCTGAAGACTCACCCTGTTCTCCGTCTCCACAGAGTCCAGCCTCGGCCTGCCGTACCACATCCCCGAACCCAAAACCATCCAGCAGTTCTACAGGAGGCGGGCCCGGCCCCAGGGGCCCGCCATGGCCCTGCTCAAGTAAACACACACACACACACACACAGAGAGAGACTCAGACGCTCACCTGCAGGCTCTGTTAAGTGATGACTTGACAAACTTTCTTCTTTCTTTCTTGGACGTTTTACTTTTACTTGAGTCATTACCAGCTGAAACCTTACCTCTAAACCTGACCTCTGACCTCTGACCAGAGTTGGTAAAGTACCCAAGAAATTTCTCAAAAGTAATTTCTTTGGAGTTCAACTCGGGTACTGATTACCTGATCAACTCATCAATCATTGAACATTTAATTTTTCCTCAGATCTTCCAGATATTCAGAGCTGATGCTGG